TAAATTGATTATAATAGAATTATGACGAACAACCATTGATTTCATGTGTACTTTGGTAAATAGTTGTAGCTGAAGGAGGAAGGTTGTAGGTCAAACATAAAGGTTTTAGATGTCATACGTTGAAGATGATGTTGAAGACCATATGAAGGTTATTTAAGGTTGATTAGATATAGGTTGAGGCTGAAATAAATATTATTTGAAAGATATTCAATTTTATAAAATAAAAAAATAAAAAAAAAAACAAGCATTTGAACAAAATTTTTTTATCCAAACAAGACTTGATTGTTTTTTTGAGGTGTCGGATTGGACGACTAGGATTTGACAAATAATACATTGACGGTTTAGATTTAATATTTTACCGTAGTCGACCATAATAACATAGTCGTCCGTAGCTGACGACTAAGCTAGAATTTTTAATCTCCAACAATACAAAAAAAGATAATGCATATATTCGCAAGTAAGGTGCGTTCAGATATAAGAAACGAGATTGGAGAAGCAAATTTTTGTGTGATGCTTGATGAATCACGAGATATATCACTCAGAGAACAAATGGCAATTGTTCTAAGAATTGTTGATGAAAATGGTGTATTAAAAATAAGGAAAATTTCACATTTGCTACCAGCGAAAACACCCTGCTTCACATTTACTACCGCTTTAATTTTTTATTTTATTTTACTACCACCTAAATCAAAATTTGTTAAAAATCACTACCACTTAAAGGAATCCGTTAAGGTTCCGTTAAATGGAGCCCAATATTTCATTAAATAATAATTTAAGCTATTTAAAAAAATAAAAAACTTAAAAATAAAAAAATCCCAACCACCAAACAACCACCTTCCCCCCCCCTTGCTGGTGCCCAAACGTTGTCCTAACGCCGGTGAACCCCTAGACCACCACTACCGACACTATCGTAACACCCAAACCCAGTGACGCCCCATACCACCACCACGACACCACCCTAACCCCAAACCCAGACCACCACCACCGAAAGCCCTATGCCCAGAACACCACCACCCACAAACCCATTGAAACCCACGAACCCATACCACCACCCACCGAAAACACCAACCCCAGACCGGTCGGAACGGGGCTGGGATCGGGTTTTCGAGGATCGAGGCTGGGATCGGGTTTTCAAGGGGAGGGGGCTGGGATCGGGGCTTAGATTAGGTTTTCGAGGGGAGGGGTTGGGAACGGGGCTAGGATCGGGGTTGGGAAAGGGGTCGTTTTCGTTCAGGTTAGGGTATAGGTGGCGGAGGAATTAGAGGAATTGGTAGCGAGTATATTGCGGTTGTTCGCAGCCTTAGCTTGGTGGTGGAAGAATGGGTGCGCTCTTGGTGGTTGTGTGATACGTCTATTTTATATAGTGTTTTACCCCCGTCCCGTGGTCATTATTAGTAGTGTTTTTGGCTCTTTAGGGTCACTTTTATTACTAATATGTGTTTTCTAGTGTTTTCGTAGTTTTGGTTGAGTTTTGCAGGGAATTGCACCTTTGGAGCATTTTTCCCGGGATTTTTATGAAGCAACTACGAGCATTGGAGGAGCACGACCGTTGTTGAAGCCCAAGGCCGGCTAGAGCCATCGAGCCGGTGATTAAGGGCTCGATATTCGGAATACCGAGGTTTGGACCGAGTATTCAAGACCCGAAGACGAGATCCGGATTGGGCCGAAGAAATAAGCCCAATCGGAAGTCCAAAGCCTCGAGGAGCCACAAGGGCCCGATCGGGCAAGCTAAGCTCGATCGGGCAAGATGCGTGCTGGTGCGTGGCCCAAGGCACGCCCGATCGTGCGAGGCTTAGCACGATCGGGCGGTGCAGTGAGAAGAGCAGTGTGAGAAAAATGGAGCGCCCGATCGGGCGCGTGTTTCTGGAAAGGCTTTTTGTCGAGCAATTAGTTTCTAATTAGGAGTTGTTTTAGTTTTGTTTTAAGTACGTTTTGAGGACGATTAATTTAACTTATCTCTTCTTTTTTAGACTTTCTCTCTCTACTTAGTTCTCTCTCTCTTAATCTCTCTCTAAACCTTTGTTCTTATTTCTTTCATTAATTCCAGATTTATTTTGGTAACGATTTCTCTTCTCTTAATCTTAGTTATTTATTTTATTCCTTTCATCATGATTTATTTTATTACTTTGATTAGTTTAATTTTTAATATGTGTGAGTAGTTTAATTTCTAGGGTTTATGGGGATCTAATAAATAATATGAAGGGGTAATTTGTTGTTGTTGATTATCAATGTTAGATTAATTTCCTATTGATTGGATTAATGCTCTGTGACTAGATTAGGCCTATCTTTTATGCATGAGTTTGACAATATTGATTCAAGAATTGAGAGATGAGAATTAATGTTTAGGTCTAGTTTCAATAGGCAAGTTAATTTATAAATGGTTAAGTCAAGATTCGAGAGATGAGATTTAATACCGGTAAATCAATTGTGTGATTGTAATAAGTAGCGAGAGCCCTTTACAATCTGGTTAATTGATGCATTGATGATTGACTATTATTGATTATTGGTATTGCATGATATTTTCTTATTGGATTGTTTTAATGTTTTACAATTGCGGCTTGTAAAAGTATAGCAATATTAAATTGATGAATCGAGCAGATGTTAATTTGATATTAAAGGCTATTTTCAATAAGAACTTAGATCTAGTAAATTGCGAGAGCCTGTTAGATCTATGTTGATTAATAAATTGCGAGAGCCTGTTAATCATGTTATTTATGCAATGTCAATGATTGATTACTATGTTTTACCCTGGAGTATTATTTATTGGTGAACCTACGCCCTAGATCCCTTTATATATCGTTCTCTCCCTACTCTTATTCTTTGTAGTTTAGTTTCATACTTAATTATAAATGTTGGTCACTTAAATAATTTAGATTATAATAATTAATTAGAAGTAAAAAGACTTGTTTCCCTGTGGAGATCGACCCTACTTCCCTATCTACCTTAGTTAGTGATTTAGGTAATTATTTTTGATTAGGGGATACGACTTTACCCTGTCATTGTGTAAAGGTGAGGAGGTGTTAGTGGCGTTTGGGAAGGAGGTGGGCTGCTGGTGGAGTTTTGGATGGCGTGGTGTAGGGAATATTTTAAGCATCTCACACTTGAGCCCCACTGTAATCATACACTTAAGCATGGTGGCGTCCAAAGGGAAGGAAGCTAGAGTAAAAGAGTCGCCAACAAGTTTTAGGAACTTCTAAACCGTTCACAGGGTCCTATGAAGGTTACACCCCTTCACGATCCATGAGATCGCTAACTCCATAGTGGTCTAAAACCATGACTGAATATTTGGGGATGAAGGTACAAATTCAACCTAAAAGAGATTGAACCTGCCCTAAAAATAGGCTTCTACTTTATTCTTCTCATATTCATGTGCGCTTTCTGACTAACATACAATCATTAGGTTAACCCTAAACCTGTTTAATCTATGTTGGTTGAATATTAATGCACAAACAAAACTAGCTATTATTGGCGATCACTTGAATTATAACCATATTAACCTAAACAAGATTATTAATTATCTTATTAAGCGTGATTACAAGTACAAATTCCCTTTAATCCCGCAAGAGAGGGCGTGATCAAGCAATAGCAATAATATATATCAAACAACATAACAACAATCATCATCATAATAATATTCTCAACCTCATGTAAGCACAATATTATTAGCAAGATCCTAGGCATGATACTAACAAGATTAATAACAAATCCTAGCATGTCACTAAACATTAAAAATCAAAGCTTTAACCCTAACATGATACTAACATGATATTAGAAAGCATAGGAAGTAGCCTAAACATGATACTAGAAACATACATGATATTAGAAATCTTAATTATTACCCTAAACATGATACTAGGAATCATAAAGACATCCTAACATGATATATATTAGGAATCAAAATAATTAAAGCATGAATTCTATATATCAAAAGAATAATTAAAGTAATTAATTACTTACTTGGATGCCTCGTATCTCTTTCTAATAACAAAATACACACGTTATTAACTTCAAGGAAAATATTAAATTAATTCAAATAATTGAAATAGAGATTTGGGACCAAACCCTCAGAAATTATCAACCTTTTATGTCTAGGGCGAAGGCAACTTCAAACTTGGCTAGGTGTGTCTAGAACTTGTGAATGTGGAATTTTGTAAGAGGGAAGGTTTAGAAAAAGAATAGATAGAGAATAAGCTTCTAGCTTTTGGAGAGAGAATAGAGATTGGATGATGTTTGTCAATGAATAAAAACGGGAGATACGACCCCTTTTATAAGAAAAATAGTCTGAAATCGATAGAACCAAATTAGAATTTGGATCAGAATAAAAAATGATCCCTGTCGCGAGCGACAGAGCCTGTCGCATGGCGACAAGCCCTGTCGTTTGGCGACAGGCTTGTCGTTACGTGACAATATAAAAGATAAACACGCTTTTGTACGAAATCCTTTTCTTAATATAATTAAGCGATTTAAACTTCGTTTAATCAATTTTAAATCAGATTTCTCATAATAAAACACTTGTTTTATTTCAAACAAAATTCATTTTTTTCCTAAAATATTAATTATCAATCCTAATGCCATTAGAACTCAAAATAACCTTCTAGACTATTCTAGAAAACTATAATAAATCCTAATAATTTTAGGAATAATAATTAATAGTCCCTCCAATAGATCATTGGGCCATAAAACCATTTCAGACCCAAATTAGTATTTGGACCATAACTTCCTCATTATTCATCGAAATTGGGCATATAATATATCATTGGAAACCTCTTTACGATCCTGAACCAACTACACTATTAATGGACCCTTATCATGGACCAGGATAAATAGGACTGACTATTTTCATAAAATAGTGAAGATTTTCAAAAAGAGAAAGAAAGATTTTTATTAAAAACAAACACATCACAAGACTTTTCACACTTTCACCTCATTCGATAATCAAGCGACGTGAAAAGTATTCATCACTGGGTTTGGTTTTTGGGGAGACACAACTGGGTGTCTACATGTGGGCTGCTGGTAGAGTTTACGACTGTTATGGGCTTCTTTGGGCGCCGACGTTGATGGGAAATGGAGGTTGGATGGTGGCATTGAGGGTGGTTGAAGATGGAGCGGTGGCGGTGAAGGTGGTTGGACGGTGGTTGGGCTCCACTAATGAAAATAGTAACGACATCAGGCAAAAGGTAGTGATATCTAAAATTTTGGGATTTGGGTGGTAGTAAAATAAAATAAAAAAATTAAAGTGGTAGTGAATGTGAAGCAGGGTGCTTTCGCTGGTAGCAAATGTGAAATTTTCCTTAAAATAACGTTTTCTTGATCTTGTTCGTGTGAAAAATACATCGTCATTGACTTTGCAACAAGCATTGTATCATGTTTTGGCTTATCATGGTTTGAATGTCAAGAACACGTTGCCAAGGATATGATGGGGCATCGAATATGCAAGGAGAATTTAATGGATTAAAAGATTTGTTGTTGAAAGATTCACCTTATCATGTGCTTCCTGTCACAGTGCTCCTGAAAATGCTCTTCACATTCTCAGGGACTGTGTTCAAGCTAAAGAGGTTTGGGATTTGATTCACATGCCTATCTCTTTTTACTCTCAAGATCTTAAAACCTGGCTATCCACAAACCTTACCCTTAACCCTCCTGTTGTTTCCCATCCCCAACTTCCTTGGCAGAATCATTTTTCTTTCATTCTCTGGAAAATTTGGCTTAAGAGAAATAACCTCATTTTTAACCAACTCAATCAACCCCCAGAATCCTCCCTTAGAGAGTCTCAAGCTTTAGATTGGGAATTTGAAACCTCTCTGAAGATTTCTTCGGGTTTGATCTCCTCTCCCATCTCTTCTGTCTGTTCGTGCCTTCCTACTGCCCCTTCTCTTAAAATGAATTGTGATGCATCTTTCAATTCTGATAACTCTTGGGCTGGGATTGCTGGGGTGGTAAGAGATTATGCAGGTGTAGACACCCATTTGTGTCTCCCCAAAACCAAACCCAGTGATGAGTACCTTTCATGTCGAATCATAATCGAATGAAGCGAAAGTGTGGAAAGTTTAGTGTTGCAGATAGTTTTTCTTTTCTTTTCTCTTCTCTCTGTTTTTGAAAACTTATTTTAAGAAAACAGCCAATCCAGTTTGGTTGGTCCATGATATAGGTCCAATAGTAGTGTAGTTGGATGGGGCTTGACAAGAGCTTTCCAACGATGTATTATAAGCCCAATTCCGATGAATGTTGAGGAAGTTATGGCCAATTTACTAAATTGGGCCCGGTTTGAGCCTTATATGCGGCCCAATGATCTAGGGGATGGCCTAATATGATTTATCATTCCTAATGCAATTAGGAATGGTTTTAGTCTTCTAGATTCTTCTAGAAGGTTCTTTTCATTCCTAATTCAATTAGCATTGATAAATTGACTTTTGTTGACTTTTCAGAGTTTTAATTAAGATCAAAGAGCATTTTTGAGGAAAATATACGATTTTATCCTCCTGTACGGCAAAACTTATCTGATTTTCAAAAATGCGTCAAAAACAGGCCTGGCGCCTGACTCCAGGCATTGGCGCCTGGAGCTAGGCCTGGCGCCAGTTAGCCAGGGTTAGCGCCAGCTCTGTTTCAGTTGCGTCAGGACTCTGTTTTGTAAATTTATCTTTTTGGTTGATTTCTCTATAAATAACGACGTAAAAACTCCGTTTTCATTCACCTACAATCAGTTTTCAATTCTCATTCTCTTCTAATTAATTCTCTTCATCTCTCTCTCTCTCTTTTCTAAATTGCTTTTTACATACAAAATTCCGCATTCGCAAGATCTAGAAACACCTAGCCATATTCGAAGTTGCCTTCGCCCTAGACGTGAAGGAGGTACGAGGCATCAAAGTAAGTACTTTAATGGTTTTTATTGATGTTATGATGTAGAAATAAATCATTTTTATAATGTTATTATGATATTCCTAGTATCATGTCTAGGTTAAATTTAATATTAAATATGATTGTTACGATGCTTCCTATTTTCTTCCTAATATCTATGATTGTTAGTATCATGTTAGGGTTAAAGATTTGATTTTTATTGCTTAGTGACATGCTAGGGTTTGTTATTAATCTTGTTAGTATCATGCCTAGGATCTTGCTAGTTTTATTATGCTTTAACATGATTTATGATTATTTTTATAATTGTTTTGATTATGATTATAATTTTATTATTGCTATAATTATTATTATTATGATTAACATGATTATTATTATGGTTAATATGATTGTTATTATGATGATTATTTTATGATTATAATTTTATTATCATTATTATTGATTATTATTATGTTGCTTGATATATTTTTGTTATTTATTGCTTGATCACGCCTTTTATTGCATGTTTAAAGGGAATTGGTACTTGTAATCACGATTAATAAGATAATTAATAATCTTGTTAGGGTTAATATGATTATGATTTCAAGTGATCGCCAATAATAGTTCATTATTTGTGCATTATATTCAACAACATAGAAAAACAGGTTTAGGTTAATCCTATTGATTGCATGTTAGTTAGAAAGCGCACATGAATACGATCAGAATAAAGTAGAGGCCTATTATTAGGGCAGGTTCAATCTCTTTTAGGTTGGATTTGTACCTTCATCCCCGAACCCTTATTTGGTTCTAGACCTTATGGAGTTGACGATCTCTTGGATCGTTAAGGGGTGTAACCTTCACCCTGTGAACGGTTTACAAGTTCCTAAAACTTGTTTGCGACTCTTTTTCTTTATCTTCTTCCCTTTTGGACGCCACCGTACTTTAGTGTATGATCACAGTGGGGTTCAAGCTAGGGGTTAACGCTTGAAATTATTCCCTACAGTTTTTTGGCGACTCAACTGGGGAGGATTTCTATTTTAATTCCTGAATTTGTTTCGGCAATGATTTAGAATGAGTGGATGAGACTCGAAACGTTCTAAGTATTTCATGTGCATAATTTTGATTAACATTATTGTCATATGCATAAAAATGATCTCATTGGAAAGACCGTCCGTAATGAGTTAAAAACATAGGATTTTACACGTAGGAAATTTGAGGAATGTCTTTCACAACTAGGACCGAAATAACATCGCGCGAAACTGGAAAATTTTATCGAGCATAGAAAGCTGCTGAGGCATGTGGGAAGTAGCGCCAGTGACCAGAACTTGGCGCCAGACTTTTAGCCGTAGCGCCAGACGCCACCATTGGCGCCAGTCTCTGATTGCTGGCGCCAACCTCCCCCAATACCGAGCCAGAAATATGCGTTCTAATTTCGACCGGTTTTTCGTATTGTTTGCTCGATCCTACTTCCTGATTGAATTTTTTTTTCTCACTATTCTGAAACCCATATGTGTTCTACATATGGACCTAACCCTCTGGGAATTCATGCTCCATCTACCCGATTGAACGCTCCGTGCAACAAAGGGTACATCCGAGATGTTGAATTCACCAAACCATGGAAGCAAGTTTTTCTAAACTCGCGGTGTCCCATCCACTCGCGCCAACCCTTCACGGTTAGGCTTCCGCGCGATGCATCTTGACAATTAACCATGGATTCTCTTTGACTAAACCATATCCTGAACTTTAGAGAACTAGAGCCATGGTTAGGTTGCGAACTCATTGCATCATATTGTGCCTACTTGACTAATTGTGCATTATTTGTTGTGCATATATTTTATGATTTCTTAACCGTTTGTTTGACTTGTGTTGAGATTAAATAAATTAATGACTTAAAGAACTTTGCCTAATTAATTAATTAATTAATTAATTAATTTGAGTAAATAAAGTCTAATATTTTAATCGGAATTGACCTAGTACGACTTTAGGCGTACCCCAGTTGACTAATAACACCGAAAACAGTCCCAGACTGAAGCTCCAATATTGGCGCCAAAGTCTGAGCTGTAGCGCCACATTGTGGAGTGTGGCGCCTGGTGACAGCTCTTTCGTCTGGCGCCAAGCTGCACAGTGTGTCGCCAGTTCTGTCATTTGGCCGACAGTTCGGATTATTGGTCTACTCATCACCTAGTGTCTAATTAATCAGTTTGCTAATTAATTCGGTTAAGTTTTGTTGTCAATAGTACTTTTTTGAGTCATTAATCGAGTTTAGGCACTAAGTCCCATGGTCTTACACATGAGTCCAAGCATGTCACTTACACTCAACGTACACACCAATACACATACTTTGACCACGTTTAAGAGAGTCGTGCGTGCGCGTTTTTTCCGTCATTTTTTTAGGGGGGTAAGTCGGATATTAATCCTCCAATTTAAAAAACTATACTTAGTTCCCTAAAAATATGTACATTATTTTTGAAAAAATATGCACCCATTATTTTTATTTTTATTTTTTATTTTTTCCTTCTTAAAATAAACCGTAAATTCAAGTTAATTCGAGTTAAGTAATTAAAACGCAAAATGGTTTAAATTACAGCGCGTGGTCAAGAAAGGAAGGATGGTTAATCAAAGACAACCTCTTCGTACAAGTCCAACTTTTCGACAAACCCAAAGCTCGCAAGAGGAAAGCTAAGACTATAATGGAAACACAAGAAGAAGTCAACGAGCTTAGGAACCAACTGGTTACAGTGACTGAGACACTGAAGCTCCTAGCACTCAAGATCGATGATCCCGTGAAGCAACAACAGATGGACCTCATGCAAGAGAGTCTAAGCAAGCTATCTAGCGACTACAAGTTTCAAGGGCTTACATCACAAGGGGTCTCGGTGGACAAAGATCTTCTTCCGCAGAAGTTCAATGCCAACGACATCCTAAAATTCAGAGCAACTGATAACCCTTATTTTCATTTAAGAGCATTCAAAACAATAATGAGTATTAAGGGTATCGATAAGAAGGTTTTCCCCTCTCTGTTCTCACTATCTCTTGAGACCGTTTTCCAACAATGGTTCTTTTCTCTCGAGAAAGAAAAGACCTCTACCTGGGAGTCCATAGTAAACGCTTTCGTTGATAGATACAAGTGCAACATTCAAGTTGAGACCGACCATAGGGAACTTGAAATCCTCAAACAGAAAGAGAACGAAGGCTTCACCTCTTTCTTTAACAAATGGAGAGAAACCTCAGCCAAGATGATTGAGGTGCCAAGTGAAAAAGAGTCTGTAAGATTGTTCATCAACAATCTTCAGGAAAAATATTCCAAGCATCTCAAGTATCAAAATAATCTCCATATCTTCAAGGTCGTCTATGACATTGGGATCAATATTGAAGACGACCTGGCTAAGTTAAAAGCTGCCAACAATAACTCCAACATTGGCTGGAAAGGAAAAAAGAACGACAATCCTTCTTCTTCCAAAACCACCCACTCAAACCATGTTAGCACTTTTAATTTAGGTGAAGTCCTTGCTATGAACAATCAAGGACAAAAGAAACCATTTAAGAGGAACTTTACTCCTATTGGCATGAGTTATGACACCGCATTTGATCGCTTAAATGCAAAAGGTCTTATAACTCCTATTGGACCATTTGGGGACCCACCAGTTGAAAAGAGGTCGGCTAATTGGAACCCTAATGCACACTGCAAGTATCACCAAGGTAGGGGCCATCTTACCGAAAACTGTTGGAAGCTTAAGGAAGCTATCCAAGACTTAATCGACAACAACAAACTGCCATTTCCCCCTGCCAGTAAGAAGCCAAGCATTGATAATGCACCTCTTGCTCATGCCCTGGCTATCTCTGACGAGGAAAATGAGGTTGACCCCTCGTCTCTCATTAGACCTGTCAAAGAAATCTACGCCACAGAAAAGGAGGAGGAAACCTTTTTTTGATGTCAAAGATAACCTTCCAGAATCGGCAAGTAAAGAAGATATACAATTGCTCACACTGTCTTTGATGGAGGTATCGCATTTACTACGTGAAGCTCTCAAAGCTATAAAGGAACCCCAAAAGAAACATGACGAGGTTCCACTTCTGAAAGATGAACCCAAGAGAGAATTCACACCCAAGAGAACGACTTA